TGGATTTCTCTGTCCAACATAGTTTTTAAGGCAGCACCAATATTCTCCTCTTCCCCCACACAAAGTTTTTGTCTTCTTCCTAGAGGACACCCCCATCTCCCCACCCATCTCAAGCACCATGGCACCTTATCATCACTTGTCATATCTCTGTTTCCCTTCCAGCACTTCCAGCTGACATATTTTGAAAGCCAGCCTCCTCTTTGCCCTCCTCCCCGCAATACTGCCATGCTCTGGTTCAACAGGAGTGCAATGCAGAAGAAAACTGGCTTTAAACATCTCTATGCAGCAGGTGGAAAGGCAAATGCAGGCTGCAGGGCAGCAGGATGAAGTGGCAATGCAGCACTTGCAACAGGACGGTGTATTGGAGGGCTACACTTCATCAGAAATCTCTGAATCCAAGGACTTAGTCTTCTGCACATTTATTGTGTTGCTTTGCTCCCTCCCTTCTCCCCCCTCCTCCCACACAGACAAAATGCAAACCCAAACTCTGATGTTCTGCTAGACAAATAGGCGACTCAGAGCATCACAGGTCTGATTCCCCCACTGCTCTCACTGATCTTTGCTCAGAGGCTCTGCAATAATCTTGTCTCAAGCCACCTCATTCAGGCAGCCCATTCATGGGCTGTTATGTAGAGGACACAGTATCAGCTGGCCAGCTACAAACAAATGAACAAAGTAGTAAATAAATCATTCATGGAACGTTGGCATCTGCATTGTTTAATGCCTTTTGTTTCGGTACTCTCATCTGCCCCTGCATACACAGCCCCCTTGCCTTCTCAGAAACCATGGCTTCACTAGCAAAGCAGAACACAGCGACAGAAGGGACCTACCTTTACGGAAACTAAAACACCGCTTAATTCTCCTATAAGTAGTTTTAGGAATGAAAGGAGCTGCTGCTAAGGCACCTGGGCTGCGGACTCCAGCATTTCTGTCTTCAGGCATCATACAGGCCAGAGCCCCCACGTCCCTCCAAAGCTTTCCTTTACCAGCTGCATCCAGATTAAACACCACGACTGCTCATCGTTACTGACTGCTGAGGAGTTTTTGTAATAGTGTATTTTCCTCTGGAGCTAGGAGATTTGTGGTCTTCTAGATCTTGGGTAGGGCTTGAAGTGATTTTAATATTCTCTTCCCTGCTTCAGTTTTGCTTTGGGGAACAATTTCCTTCCGCCTCTCTATTTCCTTTTGCTTCTTTTATTTCCTGCGGCGAGACAACTGACTGTTATGCAATGTCACAACAAAAGAGCTTCAGCAAAAAGATATATCTTCCATTCAAACAGAAGTGCCTGCACAGACGGAGGGGGAGAAAGACCTCTTCCTCCCAGCTGGCACAGGGGGTTGAGTGGCAGAGACTCCAGTTCCACGGGAAAAGGTCAGCGCTTTGCTGTGCACAAGGGGGAAGAGAAGAACGATACCAAAAAGGCCACTGAAGAATCCGCCGGGATACAATACTCCTTGCTGCCTCCCTTTATCTCTGCAACCGAGAAGCAGGAACAACAGCCCCTTCGCCCGAAAGGCTCTCTGTCCATAACAGATTCCTTTCAAAAGGCCTTTTATATGCCCAGCTCCCTGTCTGATGTTCTCATGGGCTTCTCGCTTGCTTTATTGCCTTCGAACTACCAGAAGCTCTCATGGGAGAGGTGCGTCAGATGCGGCAGCAGCACATCTTTGCCAGCAGGATCGTGGGGAGCTGCTGAGGAATACGTGCCTCCACACGGGGATGCTCTGCTTGCTCGCTCCCTCCCGGTCCCACGCCTGGCAATGGCAGCCACGGCTGCTGCCGCCGCCTGCGCCAGCCCCTCGCGTGCAGCAGGTGCAGGGAAACGACGTAGAGGAGGGAGCCGCTGCAGCGCAGATTTGTCTGCTCCTGGGTGACTTTGAGTTGACTTCAGGCAGCGGTCGTGTGCGGCAGCTTGAAAAGCAAGCAGGCTGTGCCTGGCTCCCGCAGGAGGTGCCAGACCTTACACTACTACCCCTGCTAAAATGCTCATGCTCCTTCTTCTCGCCTCCTCCCTCCCCCTTAGTTGTAAGCTCTGCAATTAAAGCTCGGCCCTTTCCCTCTTGTAACAAATTGCCTTTTTAATCTCATCAGGAAAAGAATCTCATGTGCGACAGACATTACATGCCCTGGCTCACTTGATTTCTTTTCCCTTTCAGAATTTTTTCCACAGTCACCTTATTCTTTTGGTGCAAAACGCAAGCTGTTTCTGATCACCTTAGGAGATTCCCAACTGCTAGCACAGGTTAACAAATAACAGTTTAATGATACGGTTAATCATTTACAGAGCTCCTTGCTCTGGTACCAGGAGTCCTTTCCCACTGCTAGACAAACTTTAAACATCAGCGGCTCACCAAGGCTCAGAGACAACTGTTGCACGTGTGCGCACACACACACACAGCTTGCTTACAATGCTTGAAAGAATGAGAAAATTCAAATGTGTTACTCAAAGTGGCACTTGACTTGTATGACACCAGATTATTGTGGTTTACTGTCTAGTACTGAAATTTAGGAAGCTGATATGAAACTGGTGCTTTGATTAATGAGCTGTCTGAAATAATTTTGTGTTGCAAGTAATTAGTTGTTACTGGCTAGTCGTCATCATGTGACTGCAACTTTTCTATATCTTGTTTATCGCTAATGTAATAGATAAGATTTTTAACTTCAGTGGCTACAGCTCATAAAGGCAGGCTCTTAGACAACTTAAGCCAGAAGTGCCCTTCTTTAGAAGAGTCAGACTGTTGCAGCAGCTGTAGCAAGAGACAATAAAAATATGAGTGTGTCCGGCCATACGTAATTAGAGAACAGTTAATAGGGCTTATTAAGACTTATTAAGATAGCTCAGACTATCAACTTAAGTAACAAGTAGTTAATAAAATGGGGGACCTGCTAGAAACACAGTTCTTAATGGTGACACATCCCACAATACTGCTTTTGCCTTGTTATCACGGTCAAACCTTCTCCATGAACACTAAACCCAAAATCGTGTCCCATCTATTGTCATGTTTTCTAGGGAGTTAACTGTTTGCTTCCCAGTACAAATAACCCTGAGTCAGTGTATTTGCTCAAGAAATCCAACAGGAAAAACAAAAATAACATGCTTAGATGTGTTTTAACTACAAATGAATTTAAACAGTAATTCAAGGATTGCACCCGTCTCTTCTTTTACGCAAATCAGCATGGAAAGTCTTCAGTGAGGTGCTTCCCTCAGTAATTGGCATTAAACACTCCTACAACAATGATGGTGTCCTGAGAATTTTCATGGTGGCTTGAAGGATTCCCAGCTGTAAACCAGAAATAGCTCTTGCCCTATAAAAGCAAATGAGGGGCTGGTGAAGGAAGCATAGGGTCAGGACTCAGGAGATTTGGTTTCTATTCGTAGCTCTGTTCATGGACTTGGGCTAGAAACGGAGTTTCACCTAATCTCAGCTCCCTGCCTGTAAAATGTAGACACTTCTCCACTTGCAGAAGAACTGCAAGGTTGCCTTTCCTCATTATTTGCCACAGAAAGATACTGTGGTGCTGGAAGCCAAGTGCAAAAAACCAGAAAGATAACTCTTTGAAAAATCCAGTGCTGTTATGCCCCCAAATTTATTATTGCCACAGTAGCTTATGCTGCTGCTGGACTGGAGTAAGAGAACACTGAGGAGCTCAACACGAGGCCTGCTTTACAAAGAGGAACTTGGGGATGGGTAATCTTCACGCTATATAAGCAAGCAGATTTCTTACCTTGCCTAATTGCAGAAGACTCTGCTGCTCCCACCTCCCCTTTCCCAAACCAACTCAATATGCCTGTAGAAGATCACGCCTTTTAAGACAAACCTTTCACTTTGTGGGTTTTGGGGTTTGGTTTTTTGGTTTTTTTGTTTGTTTGGTTGGTTGGTTGGGTTTTTTTAAGCATCCTCCTATAAGACTAACATGCCCAGATGCAGGACGGTGCTAGCTTATTAACATATAGGGCCAGATCCCAGTGAGATTACTGCTTAACACCATCTTTCCAGGACACATTTCCCCAGGAGGAGCCAAAGAGAAGACAGTCACATTTGAAGAGGTGCCAGGCAGGCCCCAGCTGACCAAGTCCCTCAGCACAGCCCACCAACGAGGCCAAAGCCTTCTCCTAAGAACTGTGTGACTTGAATAAAGCACAAAGGAAGATGGCTGGCTTACAAGACAAGTTTTGTTTAAAATGGTAGTTTCCTTCAGTCCCTCTCATCCTCTCTCCTGTGGTCTACCTGGCAGTTGAGGAAAAAACATTTGCAGTCAGCAATCACAGTTTTCAGCGATAACTGTGCTTCTCAGTCATGAAACAGAACAGACAATCCTGCCTGACTTACTTTTCCAGCAACCTCAGACAAGACCAAAAAGTGTCTGATACAGGTGCTCTTTCACAGTGGAAAAATATTTCTGTCCCCGAAGCTGGAGATTTAAGAGCTCCAAGGAACAGACTGATTAACGTACTGACATTTTGTGCAAGCATATCAATCATACTTGTATTATAATAATATAGACATTATCACCAGAATAATAATGGTGAAAATGATGATAATAATTTGCAGCCCATTCAACATGAGAGAGCTTTTTAAAAAGACAACTAGACATCTGACAATAAATTTTGATCCACTACTACTGAAATTATTGGGTATACCAATCAAAAGAAAAAGAATCTATCCTATACTGCTAGTGCTAATATTCTGAGGCTTATATTGGAATGCATAGCTTTATATAATACTATTACTGGTCTTAGCTGTCACTTGCAGGAGAATCACTGACAGCTTGTAGCAGGCACTTATGAAACACATGGACGGTCTTTTAGCTGGTGACCAAAGGAATTACCCTGCTTATCCCTGCGGGAAAGTGAACACAGAGGGTTTACTCCCCCTTTTTTGAAAGATCTAGACCATTCTCTTCACTTCAAAACTCTGGCTGTGACTGAGAGACGACAGAAGAACCCTTATGTGTCTTTGTGTATCTGGGAGCCTTGCGTGTTCCCTCACTGACTCACCTCCTCCAAATGGTGCCCATATAACCCTGCGAATGGATTTCACCCAATCCTCCATGTCACTCTGTGTGCTCGCCATAAGAAGGTATGTCTCATGATTAGCTGTCATCCGCTCTCGGTCTCCTCCTGCAAGAGAAGATAATTGCACTTAGAAATCCTTCTGCTTTCCTGCTCAGCCAAGTTCCTGCCAGACCGACTGCTGAAAGCAGTAATAGCAGCTCCATAAGCAAGCAGACATGGATACTATGCAGTGCAGCGTTTATCGTCAGACACTGCATGAAAAGAAGGTCCTGTAAGTACATTCCCCATCAGGCAACGAGAAGCTGTCATACTTCCCAAAGGAAATGAGAGGATAAATGTCATCAGTAAACAAAAACAGTCCCATGCCATTCCAAGAACCATGGCAGCCTGCACTCATCTGTAACTTGATAGACACACTGGAAATTTTGCAGCAGTTATTGTACCATGACGGAGAGAATAAACACAGAGAGAGATAAGCGTGCTTTGAACAAGTGGGGATGACTCCATTTTTATTTTCAGGAACACAATGTGTCACATTCATGGCAATGACATTTGATACACCCAAGTGTTGCTGTGAATCTCTAAGGAGAAGGCAGCCAACGCTAGCAGCTGACATGGTACAACCTACTGCCTTGGACGGTCTGACGAGGATTAGATTAAGAGGGAACACACTGCCTTATTATCCTTTATTTAAAGGATGGGCCGACACTAAGAAGGTCAAAATCAGAACTTCGCTTGCCACAGCTCCAGGTTTTCACACTTATAGTACTGCTTCACCTCCATCCTAATGTGTACTATGCTAGTGCAAGAGCACACAGGGATTCAAACCACCTTTCCAGCACTGCAGAAGGAGCAAACCCTTCCAGAAAGATAGCACCAGACATTTTGAAGCCCTTTCACTGAGCCAAATGCGATGCACCTTGAAATCCCGTGAGTTCCATGTTCATCTCTTTCCAGCTTCTTCCATCCCTATTTTTGATACTAGTCATATCTAAAGTAAATACCTCTGTTCATTACAGCATGAATACTGCTCCTGGGAGCTTCTGAAAA